CTAGACTTCTATTAATTTTAAGCTCTCCATGGTGGCTTGAAAGTGGAGTTTTCAGTCCTGCATTTTAGACATTGGTTGCACTTCTTCAGTTCATCCTTGACTCTCCAAACAATCATGTTTCCATTGTTGTCCTCAGCGTTTAGCCTACCTTTGTAGCTCTTCCGGTGATCCACTAGTTGGCAATCCTCAAAGTATGAGGGTTTCTTGATTGAATTTTCCATGGTGAAGTTCTACTGCTTGTCTTCTACCCTCAGGATTATCTCATTAGTATCAAAATCCAGCAAGGCTCGGCTTGTACACAAGAATGACCTTCCCAAGATTATTGGCATTCGATATGCCTCTTCTATGTCCAAAATGATGAAGTCAGCTAGAAAAATAAACTTCCCGACCTTGATAAGCATTTTTTTACTATTCTGTAGGGGTGTTTCAGCAATCTGTCTGCTAGCTAAAGGATAATAGAGGATGCCTTAAGATTTCCTAATCCTAATTTTCTGTAAAGAGACAAAAGAATTAAATTTATGCTTGCTTCTGAGTCAATCAAACAATTTATATTATGTAAATTTCCTATGGAGTAAGGTAAAGTAAAACTCCTTAGATCTTTTAGTTTGGGAGGGATCCTGTGTTGGATGATCGAGTTGCATTCTTCAGATAGTGCTATCGTTTTTTGCTCAGGCAACTTCTTCTTTTGGTCAACATTTCTTTCAAAAACTTGAAATAGTTTGGGATTTGAAGGATTGCTTCAATGAATGGGATGTTGATATGCAACTTTTTGAGGAATTCCAAAAAATTATTGAATTGTCTCTCCAATTTGGTGTTTTGCAGCCTTTGAGAAGAAGTGATTAAAGATGTGAGTGAAGTACCAAGAACTATTGCCTTAAGCCGTGGGCTATTTAAGACTAATTGTTGATCCTCCTCTGTTTCTTATTCAGACTGTTTTGCCTGTTCCTTACCCTTTGTAGATATTTGAGTGTTCTCTACCCCTTCTTCTTTGTAGTGATTTTGGCAACTGAACACCACTTTTAGTAGTGATGGTTTGAACCTGTTGTATTGTTGGCTGCCTTCCCAGCCTCTGAGGGAATGGAATGAGTGGCACATTAGCCTTGACCGCGATGACGGGAGTGAATGATGGTGGCTCTTTGATCTTAGAATTCACCACCTCAATTGCTAGTACCTGCTCCTTTGAATTTTTCTCTGTGTCACTAGGCAATGTACCATGTGGTTTGTTGACTAATACAGATGCTACCTTTTCCACTTGATTCTCCAAGTTATGTATAGAGGCCTGCTAATTCTGTATCGTTGTCCTAGTCTTGGTGATGTACTTGACACGTAGATCCTCCATTGATTGCCTCTTTTCTTGCTGTTGCTGAATCACTGGTAGATTACCTTCATTTGATTTCCTTGATTCTAATTATCCAACCACGCGTAGTTAGGATACTTGTTCAAACCTGAATGGAAGTTGTGTGAGTATGGTCCATTTTGACTCTAATAGTTCTACGCATAACTGAAAAATGCTGGCTGAATGGAAGTGAAATGGTAGCTTGTAGTGATGTGATCTTCCCCCACAACCTGCGCAAACTGGAGTGGATGCTGTATCACGTGCATAGATTGAATGAGAGTGTCAAGCTTCTTCGTTATTGCTTCTATCTATACTGCTAATGCTGTCACTGCATCCACAATTCTGCATCCCAGCTGCCTTCCTCAGAGCTTTCCTATCTGTTGGCCGGTTTATCTGATTCTCAGCAATCCTTTCAAATAGATTATGTGCATCATCTACCTCGATACTCAAAATTGATCCGCCCTCAGAAGCATCTACAATATTACGAAATTTAAAGCATAGTCTATTGTAGAAGAGATATAGTTCCACTAGTTTAAAAATATCAAGATTTGGGGATACTTCCTAAATGCGCTCTTGAGCCTGTCCCATGCTTCAGGATATATCTCAAAGTTCCTCTATCTGAAAAGACACACTTCATTTCTGATTTGGTGGACTCGAGATGGTGGGAAGAATTTCATGCTCCTAGGAGGTAGTGAATACACCCATGCTTTTGTGCCCTCCTTGAAGGTATAAGGAAATAGACGCATCCTAAATGCATCTCGTGACATTCCCTCGTGGAAAATGACTTCACACAACATGATAAAAGCTTGTATGTGTTCATGTGGATTCTCCATGGCTTTCCCGCAGAACCTGATGTCATGATGATTTTGAAAGAGGTTTATGATATCCAGTTGAATGTGAAAGTTAGCTTGTCCGAAGGGTGGGTATATAATTGACGACTGCACTGGTGCAGGTATAGGATTCACATAATCCCCCATTAATATAGGCTGAACCAGAGGTGGTTGCTGAACTGAAAGTGCTGCTTCCCGTAATACATTTTAAATCTGATTCTGATTTTCAGCAATTACTCTTTCTCTTTTCTGTTTTCTTTGACGTTGTTGAAGGTCCTTTTGATCTAGGATCTATAGGGAGAATCTCGATCTCGGTAGGATCTTACATAAACTGGTGGAAACCTACAAAGAGTTAGAGAAGAAGAGATCATGTATTTTAATTAAAGCATAAACTGAACAAAAAGAAAAAAAAAGAAATAGAAAAAAAATCGAACTTAAATCCGTTAATCCCTAGCAGTGGTGTCAAAAACTTGTTCGGACAAAACCCGCAAGCGTACGTGATCGTTGTACAAGTAAACTTAATTTTAAAATTTTGCATATGCATTTTTCCCGTTATCTAATCAGTTGAAATAATACTTTATTCTGTCTATATGTTTCGATTGACCAAATTGAAAGGTCACTATAACTGAATAAATATTCCATTTCAAATCAATCAATCTTTTTGCATGCGCAACACGAAAGGGCATGATTGGCCACGGTAGGTAGTTGAATAATTAATGTTTCCTACTATATTCATGAGTTCACACACAACGTTTTCTGTTAAAAAAATTATCCCTTAAGCTAGGTGGCACGAAAATGAAAAAGGGAAACTTAATTCGTATTAGAATGCATATAGTTAGTTTTTGTATAGTTTGTTTGCGTGAAACCCGCAAGCGTACGTGATCGTTGTACAAGTAATAAGATTTGTGAGTTAAGAGTATCGTTTCAAAAGGAATAAGGTCTAATTTATAGTTCAATAGCTATTATTAAATTCTAAGTGTAGTGATATCAAAAGAGATGGTTGATATGTTTTCTATATTAATCCTAAATTAACAAAACAAATAAAATATTTATTTAATAAATGAATGTTTGTATTGGAATTGTGAATCCCCCTATTGACTTTTAATTCAATTCTTAATTCGTAATTTAATAAATTCATGCATTTAAGACAATTGATAATTCACTGTTATTCAATATTCTTTTCCAAAATATATTAAACATATGTTTAGCATGACTCAATCATGTTCCTAGTTGAATTCATATGAAAAACATGCATTGATTCACATGATTTATCACATTTAATTGCAGATGCTATATGTATTAGGATATAGATATTATTCTTAATACCTATTATCCATGTAATGATTTTGTCGTGTGCTAGACTTATTGTGAGTATTTCTACATTACAACAAGTAACTTACTATCTAATTGAGGATCAAACAATCAAATAGTTCAATGAAAGTGCAAAACCAATCAAGAAAAAAAACTAAACTAATTGTCTTGAATTAAAATAAACACATAATATGGTTCATCATTTATCCAATACAATGAAAAACTTAGCCTAACATTATAATTAAATTACACAAGAATAACTGAAAAAATATCACCCGAAAATAAGAAAGATGGAAAAAGTAGGAGAAATCCACGTTTTTGGCTCAAATTTTAAAACCAGACGATGAATCTTCAAAATCCTTATATGATTCGCCTTGAATTGATGTATAGACTCATTCTTCACTTCCAAAATATGTAGAATATGATGAAATTTAGGTCGAATAGCTCCTTCTCACGTTCTGGTTGAATTTGGTATTTAAAGGATGCTAAAAAGATTGCATGGAATTGTTACCAAAACAAAAATAAGGAAAATCAGATTTTTTTTTCTTTTTGTATGAGGTGCGCGCCTGGCTAGTTTGGGACGCCTTAGACACCCCATTTTTGGTTGGGGAGCGCGTCTTGCCTAATTTCCGATAGTTGAACAGTTTTTAGTATTTTTGTCATTATNCAATTGAACCCTTTTTCCACTATCTTTGCATTATTTTCTCCAATTCTTCATCAAACATTGAGTTTTACCTACAAAATAAAATATAACACAAGTTAGGTAGTATTTTATCCAAAGAACAGTAAAATATCATCATTTAGGATCTCTAATAAATGTAGAAATTACACTTATCAAAATTCATCCTAACTATGAGATTTTTTTTACGTGAAAATCAATTTGTCCCTTAGCCATTTTACTATTTTCCTGCCTAATGAGGATGATCTGAGTTGAGCTATGAATGTAAAACTTGTTTCATTAGTTATTTGAGTAGGATGTTAAGAGTTTATACTGTTGGTTCGTGTTCGATTCAACAAAAACATTGTAAAGAAAGAATTCATGCTCTAATGAATACTTCAAAGACTGTAAGTAAAGTGATGGACACGAACATCTAACTCACTTCTGAACTTAAAAAGTAATTAGGTTCACCTCATACAGGAAAACATATTTTCTTGAATTTAGGTTGTATACTGGATAGCATACAAATTATTCAAGATATTGAACTAATCCAATGGTACAAATGGCTGTCCCTGATTGGCCAGGAGAAACTATGTCCACATCACGTGAGATTTGCTACATAATGTACCCAAAAACAAAAAAATAAAAATCCAACGTTACTGGTGGTGCTGGACGTTGCCAAATGGATATGCTATCAAAAATATCATACACCAATGAAAATACAGTTAGTGATATCAATAGATAAGGACCGTGTTGAGTGCTGGCAACTCCAATTCATATAAATACATTAATATGCACTGGTCATGTAACTCAAGCCACAGACAACTTGCAACTCTCTCCCAAACAAAGTGAAGTATTAAGTAAAATGGCAGCCTCCACTATGGCTCTTTCTTCACCATCTTTCGCTGGTAAGGCAGTGAAGCTCTCACCATCTGCCCCTGAGATCACTGGCAACGGGAGGGTGTCAATGAGGAAGGCTGTGAGCAAGTCAGTTTCTTCAGGCAGCCCGTGGTATGGCCCTGACCGTGTTAAGTATTTGGGACCATTATCCGGTGAGCCCCCAAGCTACCTCACTGGTGAATTCCCTGGTGACTATGGTTGGGACACTGCTGGACTCTCAGCTGATCCTGAGACATTTGCCAAGAACCGTGAGCTTGAAGTGATCCACTGCAGATGGGCCATGCTTGGAGCTCTTGGATGTGTTTTCCCTGAGCTCTTGGCTCGCAACGGTGTCAAGTTCGGTGAGGCTGTGTGGTTCAAGGCTGGTGCACAAATCTTCAGCGAGGGTGGACTAGACTACTTGGGCAACCCAAGCTTGATCCATGCCCAGAGCATTTTGGCCATCTGGGCTTGCCAAGTCATCTTGATGGGAGCTGTTGAGGGCTACCGTGTTGCCGGTGGACCATTAGGGGAGGTAGTCGACCCGCTTTACCCTGGTGGAAGCTTCGACCCCTTGGGTCTTGCTGATGATCCGGAGGCATTTGCAGAGCTCAAGGTGAAGGAGATCAAGAATGGTAGACTTGCCATGTTCTCCATGTTCGGATTCTTCGTGCAGGCAATTGTAACCGGAAAGGGTCCATTAGAAAACCTTGCTGATCACCTTGCTGATCCAGTTAACAACAATGCTTGGTCTTATGCAACAAACTTTGTTCCTGGAAAGTAAGCATTGATAGATTTGTCAATTGTGACCCAAATTGAAATCCGACTCTTTTTTTTTTATGTTTTTATTATAAGTTTGATTGGGCAACCAATGATGTTTGTGGTGTATATTGATTTCATCGAATGAAAAACCAGTGAACTTTTTGCATCATCATATGAATGTTTATGATTATGTTATTATTCTAACTCTTGAATTCTCGTGCTATTCTACATGCATTATTTGACGTCATGGTCATCATAATTTTGCCAACCTGATTCATGGATTATTGATCTATAAGAATGTCAATTGAGTCACTCAACTTCAATTATTGCGATCAACATGTCTCTTCTTTTGATTCCAGTATTAAAAGCACGGTGAACAACAATGTGATCTTCATCGAGTTTTCAACTTCGTTTCTCTAACTAGGTGTATCCAAAACATAAAAATAATTCAACTCTTCAACAAACAAAACCAACATATAAGCACATGTTTCTATGATGAATAATTGCAACAATTTTGATCATGGTTACCAACGAGGAGGATAATCCCCCAGCTCGATGGGGACTAGGCTTGAACGGGGCAGGGACGAGGACGAGTCTAAGAAATTAGCCCCGAATCGGGGACAATGATCATGGTCTCCACTATATTATTTTTTAAAAAAATAAAATAAAAATAAAAAGGGATATTGTACTCACGATCCCAAACATTTTAATTTTTTGTAGCTTTTATCTTAACATTTCATTTGTTGCGCCCACAATTCAAAACCTTTTATTTTTGTGCGGTCGAAGGATAGTTGACCATCAAAATTGTACGTTACAACATTTTTAACAATTTCAAAAAGTGAAAAATAGTAACTTTATATTTTTCACATAAAATAATTAAAATAATTGAATAAAAACCCCAAAAAGAGAAAAAAAAAAAAAAGAAAAAAAGAAACAATTCACCTTCTTCACCCACCCACCTACCCAAATCGAAATCCCACAGTTGGCCACTACCACCACCCACGTACTGCCCGCCATGCAAAAATAAGTTTGGAAGAAGATGAATAGTTTCTTTTTTTTAAAAAAATTAGATTATTTTATGTTAAAAATTTAGAGTTACCATTTTTGTCTTTTTCAGAAATATATTTTCAGGTCAACTAATTGTCCATGTCCTTCAACCGCACATAAATAAAAGGTTTAGGACCGTAGTTGCAATTATTCCAAATAAAAAAATATCAAAGAAATTTTATATAGTGCATCATATTCATAAAAAAAATATATTTTTAAACTATCAAAATAAATGAGGGGTTGAATGGGGACTGGGGCCATCCCCACTTAAGCGAGAATGTGGGGGAGGATAGGATTGGAAAATCTCCGACGGGGCTAGGACCGGTGTCAATGATCGCAACTTTATTTAGCCCCTTGACCTAATCGTTACTTAACCCCTTGACCCAATCGCAACCGCAATTTGCCCAATTCGACGGCACATTGTAAATATTAGTTCAGTTTAAGTTATAATTTCCTTTCCATTTTAATAGTTTATTTAAAATGTAAAATAGCTCTAATATTTGTAAACATTTAGTGTGACTTTTCGTCATTTAAACATCTACTCATATCACTTATGTTTTTGTCCCGCAAGTTATCATAGGGGGTATTAGTCATTAAAAAATGTTTCAAACTTACTGGTGTTTGCCCCTACACTAGCCATTGTAATTTTCTGATTTCATCAATTGCAATTTTTCGCTTTCATTAATCAATGATCAATTTATTTTCAATGCATCTAAATTCTCTGTTGCAAGTTTTCTACAAATTGTAATCAAATTTTCTTTTGTCCTGAAACGATCGAGAAAATGAGGAAGGTAGTCTAGCGGAGCAGATTACTACCGCACGGTGTCCCTTTCTGTGTCGAAAGAAAGGCACCCCGTGAAAGTTGGTATCAGAGCCGCAGCTCACAACCCTCGATAAGAAAGCTATGGATCAAATTACATCAAACACCACAGAAGTCGTAGATCCTCAAAAGAGGAGTACGAAACAGCGCGTGGATGTCCTTGCTGAGACAACTACTAGGTTGTGCTATGTCGTGGAGGACCTCGAGGAAAAAGTCGAAGTGGCAGAGGAAAAATCGTGAATTACACATCCAACTGGATGAAAGCCGAATGGCTTGCACAACAATGACTGAAGCTGTTGCAATCATGGCTGATCTGCAGGATGAAATGTTTACGAGTACTTTAATGTGTGGTTGATAATGCGCAAACCCCCGCACAAGAGTATGTTCCCAGGCTTAAAATTTCGGAATCATGTACCTACGGAGGGGCATGAGATGCAAAAGAAGTTGAGAACTTCTTGTTTGATATGGAACAATACTTTCTCCCGGCTTCAATTGAAGACGAAGCAAGAAAGGTTACAACAGCTACCATGTATCTTAGTGGAGATGTAAAACTATGGTGGAGGACAAAATATGCTGATATTCAGGCCAACGGGATCTGAATAGATTCTTGGGATCTCCTTAAGGAAGTGATCAAATCGCAGTTTTCCCAGAAAATGTGAAATATCAAGCACGACTGGCACTACGAGAACTGAAACATACAAGCTCCATTAGGGAGTACGTGAAAGTCTTTTCAGGACATATACTAAATATTCGAGATATGTCAAAAAATGATAAGCTCTTCATATTCATGGAAAGGCTGAAACTGTAGACACTCAATTACTTCGGAGACATAAGGTTACTGATTTGAGTGCGGCCATGGGAGCCGCCGAATGTTTAAGTGACATCAATCGAAATTGAGAAAAGATTGACCTTCAGAAAATAGTCAAGCTATTGGAGGTGGAAGTAGACGTTATGGACCCAACTTGAACTTAAATGGAAGAGAGCGTTATTCCCATAATAAGGGAGGAGCCTATCAAGGCACTCGTCAGAGTTACTTTCGGGGAAATTATCAAAACAGCCGTCAAGGAAACTATAAAGGTAGCAGCAATGACAACTGGAACAATGGAAAAGCAACAGAGGGCTATAATGTCACTCTAAATTGATGTGCTTTTTATGTGAATGACTTCATCGGGTGTCGGATTGTCCTCAGAAACAGATGGTGAATGCATATTGTCAACTAGCAAGTGGTGGAATGAGTTCAAAGAAAGATGTCCCATAAGCTAGCTATCACTGTGAGACTGACTCCAAAGAGGATGCGGATGTAGTTGGAGCATTCTCACATTGGTGCAATACACTATCGGATCGAGCTACTGAAAAAGATGATGTTCCCTCGAAAGAGGTAAAGATGGAATAATCAAAAGCTCGTATTTGTAGGGCGAAAGGCCTAATGTACATTGATGTGTAGATCAATGAAAAGCCAATCAGGGCTATGGTAGACACCGCTGCTACCCACAACTACCTCGCAAGTACCGAAGTGGAGCAACTCAGACTTATTCTGAAAAAAAATAGTGGGAGGGTCAAAGCAATTAACTCTGCTACTCAACCAATAGTTGGAGTAGCGAAATCTATGTTATTCAAAGCGGGTCCTTTCGAGGGAAGGACAGATTTATCTGCAGTTCAGATGGATGACTTCAAGCTTATTCTGGGATTGAAATTTCTTCAGGATACTAGACCATAGTGTTTCCATATTTCGATTCGTTAATGATGATGGGTAGTAAATCGTGCATCATTACTGCACAAGCTAGGAACATGGGCAAGAATAGTATCTCAGCCATGCAATTTTGGTAAGGGTTTCAAAAGAAATGAACCCTTATTCTTATACACTTTTAGATTGGAGGAGATCAAAAAGGTGACTTGCCCTATCCCAAAACCTGTTAAAAGGCTTATTTAAGAATTTGAGAACATCATGCCAGATGAGTTACCAAAAAAATTGCCACCAAGAAGGGCGATTGATCATGAGATTGAATTTATTCTAGGTGCCAAACTTCCCGTCGGGCACCTTATTGTATGTCAGCCTGAGTTTGAAGAGCTTCAGAAACAATTGGGAGAAATGCTGGAAAGTGGTATTATTGTGCTTGCAAGATCACCCTATGGAGCTCTCATGTTGTTTCAAAAGAGGTCGATGATTCTCTTAGAAGGTGCTGTGACTATCGTGCCTTGAACAAGATCACTGTGAAGAATAGCTATCCCATTCCGCGGGTTGCGGATTGCTTCGAATGATTGAGTCAGACGAGATATTTTACAAAGATTGATCTTAGGTCTAGATATTTGCAAGTTCAGATCACAGAGAGACACGAAGAAAAGACTGCGATAGTAACAAGAAATGGAGCCTTTGAATTTAAAGAGATGCCTTTTGGCTTAACCAATGCTTGAGAAACGTTTTGTACAATGTTGAATCAAGTAATTCATGTTCTTAGACGATTTTATGGTGGTGTACTTGGACGACATAGTAATCTATAGCAAGACATTGGAGGAACATGTGAGACATGTTTTCAATTGGCTACGAGAGAATGAACTGTATGCCAAACCGTCTAAATGCTCATTTGCTCAGAAGTTTATCAATTTCTTGGGTTACGTCATCAAACAAGGTAAAATACGTATGGATTTGAATAAGACCATCAAAGACTAGCAACCACCAAAAAATGTTCACGATGTACGTTCATTTCTCAGGTTATGCAATTACTATCGAAGATTTGTGAAAGAGTACTCAGATATTACACTATTCACTTACCGAATTAACAAAGAAGAATAAGAATAGGGACTGGTCATCCCAATGCCAAACTGCTTTTGAAAAGTTGAAGATGTCTATGTGGATGACTATGTTAGCCTTACTGGATATGACTAAACCATTCAAAGTTCATACCGATGCTTCAAATTTTGTACTTGGTGGAGTCCTTATGTAAGAAGGACATCCAGTAGCATATGAGAATCGAAAGTTGGACCAAGTAGAACATCGTGACTCGGCATAAAAAAAAGAGTTATTGGCGGTAGTCCATTACCTTAGAGGACGTCGTCACTATTTGTTTTGATCTCCATTTATTGTAAAGATAGATAACACTGCGCTTAGTCACTTCATGTCTGAGCCGAAACTATCAAGCAAACGGCTCGTCGGTAGA